TCATCATTTTTTTACTTTGTTTTAATTATTTTTTCCCTATTGTAATTCCCTTAGTATTTCCGTTTGTATTTATCAATTTTCTAATGGTAGTGGTAACAGGTCCTAAAGATACTAATTATAGGCTCAATTTAGACATGCCTAAAAAACGTATTGAAAGTAGATAAAATTATCCACCTGTTAAGGTGCAGCTGACCTTAACCCAATTGATAATATCTAAAAACTTCCCTCACAAATCCTTGGAGTGGGAAGATGTACCCCTAACACGTACAATTGGAAGAGGGATTGTATACATGGGTTTGGCAAGTCCCTAGACCCTACATGTCTATGTTCAGTTACATTCTGAGTCTAAATATATATAAGTCTCGTAAGCCACCAAACCCAACATTTCTAAGTTTAACTACTTATTGAGCTCAAGCACATATTGGTTTGGTAGGTTGTTAAACCTTACATTCTTGGGCTCAACATTTTATCATGCTCAGATGGATGTAAAGTTGATCTTTCTAGGCTCCTAGTTGGGTCACAAAGATACTCATTCCTCTATATCTCTAGGAATATAAAAGTCTTTAAAGGGACCAGTTACTTTATCCTCGATTAATGATGTCTATGATATATTTCATCTCTTATTAATAATGTGTAAAAGATATATATCCCTCTTCAATACTATCAGGTCAAAATGATATTTCAGCCTCTCCTTTCCAAAAAAAATAAAATCCAAGGTTCATATATTATAAAAACCCTATAAATCCTTCAAAAAATCCAGCTTTACATTCTTTATTATGTATTGCATATATATTTTTAAAATCTCTCTTTAAAATGTCATTATCTTTTTTTTTATTGAAAGTCACCAACTTTACTATAGGAGAGTCCGTAAATCCATTAAAAAGATATTGTTTTAGATACCAATTACCTTGGCCTACCAAGCATTAAGTACCAGTTATTTTAACTAAAAAAAGAAAAATAATTTTTTTGAATCGAGAAATTAATCAATTATCCGATACTTAAGCCTTATCATTAAATAATTTGAATTTTGAAAAATCATCAGATCCTATATAGGTTTTTCTTTTTTCTAACAAGGCCGTGTCTTTTAATTTGTTTTTGTATATTAAAATTAAGTTCCTTCGCCATTAATTTTAGATACACTATTAACATGTGTATTCATTCCTTATGTTGGAACCTGAAATAATAACAGGAGGAATTTACAAAAATCCATACCAACTCCTAAAGGTTACATCAAATGAGTGTGATCGTCCTTTTTCTTTTTCTTTGTTTTTTTTTTGAGGGGGAGCCTATCACCACCGGCCCTCCCTGTAGCTTGTTGGTTTGTGTTTGACACGTTACTTCAATAGGTTGAGGAGAGAGGAGAGGAACAAGATCAAGTATCAATCTCAATTAAGGTCAACTGAATCTTATTGATCTCATGGAGATCTAACTTAAGAAGGGTTAATTTTGTTCCCCACGGCGGTGCCTCGCGCATGCTGCAAGCGTCCTTGCTAGCTAGTGAAATATATATATATATATGCAAGGGAGCTAGCGGGAAATTGGGCTGCTGCCGATTCCTTTGTTAGGTTAGGTGGCTCCACAGTAAACATCAATGTAGCATAGACATACATAGATCGTGAATTATTAACCCAAAGATTTTGACACCTTCTCCTCATTTTTTTTCTCGTGACAAATACGCTTGCTTGCTGCTGTTCGCTCTCATGGAGCTTCTCCTTGTCCCTGGCTGAGGTTTTCATAGCCTTCTACTTCCAACTGTGGCACATGACCGTATCACTCTACAGTCCACAATCTACAGGCCACTCTATCAATGAAGAAGCTCTCTCTAGCTGAAAATTTATCTGCATCCTAGCTATAATTGATTACTGTTTGGAATTGGATAACTACTATGAAGAAAAAAAACAAAAAAAACATGTGTACCATCACAAACACCACTGTTTCTGAGCACCATAGGCCACTAACTAGGACAAATTATTAACTCAAATCATAGAGAGTATAGACAATCAACAGTGCCATAATTGATACCTTCAGTACTGCCTCCTGCTGCATCAACTAAGCCAGTTCAATGTTGTTTGCCAGTTGAGACACTGTACCGCTACAAAAAATAAAGCCAGTACCAATTTTCCATCGTTCTCTTGACCACCTTGGTTCCATGTCACCTGGCTACTACGTGCTGTCGTTATCATCTTGGAACACTTTCACCGTCGGGTCCATCACCACCTTCATGGTGGCTTTGTCAATGTATAACCAACAACTACATCTGTAACACATGTTAATTATTAGCATGTGCTACGTTTAATGAACATTTCCATTGTTTGCATCTACCATGTTAGTTAATCAATTGCCATTTTACCAATCTTTTCACCCTCTAAAAGAAAATCTAATGATTGGAGGCCGGTGGCAGCCACACTAAATATTTCTCATAAGCTATTTGTAAACACATATAAGATATTATGCAGTACAGTTTAATTAATTATTATAAGCAGCATAAATATTTTAGATGAGTAATAAAAAAAAAACGACCCTATAGTATACTTTTAGATGAATGTTGTGAGATAAATATTTAGTTGTTTCGAAATGGATTTGAACACGTGTTGGGCCTCAGGTCAATTTTGCTTAAGATTTTCAGACACGGGTCGGTTCATTCGAATTTGAGAAACCGAAGACCTAGAGCCAAGCCCATGAACACCTCTATAGTATAATCGCAAAGCAAACTCTTGGAAATGAAGACCTTACTCAGCAGGGAAGGACGAGATGCCTTTCGAGAAGGGCAGTTGCTCAAAATAAAATCCTAGATGATCAGATAGCTCAATATATATGGAGCTCTATGCTCTAGTATAATAAAGTTAAGGCCTCCAATTTGTAATTATTCTTTCATCACATACTAATTATGAGACCAAATATTTAATAAACCACTACTATCACTTCCATCTCCCAACTACTTCCACCCAAAATTGACATTACAATTTGTAAATACATAAGTTTCGTGAAATGTAGAGGGATGAAGCAATCTTAGAGGGCGAACTAGAAAATGCTATAGCTCTACCTTCAGCAAGATTCTGGGTATGATGTTATGAATGCTATGGCTAACCTAGAGCGCATTCAATTATACCATTGATAAAACCTAAAGCCGAATTCCCTTTTATAACTTCACCAAACCGTCATCACTAACTACTAATTTGGGATCGTATATAGTTATGAAAACAACCTTCTTTCTCGGCCGAGAATGGAGACTAAATAATAGACAGGCACTGCAGCCAATATACTAAATTCCAAGTCATCATCTTGTCAGGAAGAAATCTTAATTTTCACCATATCTAGATCCCAGTCCTCTTCGAGGTACGTAATAAAATCAGGATGCAAAATTGCAGCTGCAAGCCATATCCTCCTGCATGCAACATCTAGTCCTTGAACATTTTTCCCGTTTAGAGAAAATCTGAATTTACAAATAATGTGCCTACATTTCTAACACTATATATGCAGGCATATGGACTATCTCTGCCATTGACAATGCTCGTGTATCCAGAAGTTGAGCATATCACTGAATGTAGTTCTTTCTTATACAAGGCTCAAAAAGTACTGAAACAATCAGCATTTGAAATTTCCAAACCCACACAGTGCTTTAATGCAATAACATGAAATACATCAAAGTCAACAAAACATATAACCCGAAAGACCAATCACATAAAGAAAATCCCAACATTACAATAGCAAAGTCTCCCCCTTTTCCTATACCATTAATTATACCCATCCCCCTTTTTTTTTCCCTAAAAAGAAAGTATAAAAGACAAAAATTAAAAAGGAAGAAGAAAGAAATGATCTTCAGTGCCTCAACTGATATTGATAGAGGACTGAGACATATACCCTCCTAACCCCAACCTAATAACAAGTACGAATACATTAACAAAAAAAGAAAAAGGGACTTGTCATGCATATATACATACAAATTAAGGTATGACCAACTTACTGGCACTAGCTAGAAAGTTGCACCAAATAGTTACTTGATCCTTTCTTCAACACTGTGTGGTGTAGATGATAATGACGGTGATGATGATATGATTATGATAGCTGAGTTGATGAGAGGGAAGAGGATCCGAGGTTCCTCTCAGTGCAAATACGATTTCTCAACCTTGAAAATAAAACCAATAGGCTGATCTTGCAGCTGACATGATCTCTCTGATCCAAGCTCCTCTCATCTTTAGGTTCCAACCACACCAATCTTATACCCTTGTTAAGAGAAAGTCTTAATCCATCCCCGATTTGAGTACCATAAACTCCACTACAAACAGAAGTAATAAGAAAAGAGTAAAAAAAAACTAAGCTAGAAGAAGACATCCAAGGTCACTAACAAAGAGGGAGATAACTGAGATGAAAGAAATGGTTTTTTAGGTAGAGCTAGATCAAAGAAGTACTGAGGACCCCATATTGGCTGGATCATGCCATGAACCCACACTATTGGTAGTGTTCCAATACATTGAAGGATCTGAGAAGCCAACTTGGTCTATCTGATTCTGGGATGGCACATTCCAGTTCGACCTATTTTGATCATGCTCAATTTTCACCCCTTTCATACCAACCCCAGATTCACTATTCCCACTCATTTGCAAGTCCTCAAAGGGGACTGTCAAGTTTTGGTACTGGTTAGGAGCTCTAGTACTCTTTTGTTGGTTGAAGTTAGAGGCAAACAAAGAAGCCATAGCTGGAGTGGTTGTGTTGGTGGAAGTTGTGGAGGAGCCAAAGAGATTGGAATAACTTGAAAGAAGTGAATTTGAAGTGACCACATCTTGTATTTGCTTCGTAGGGTTAAACCCATTAGCATCATTAGTACTCATGATTCCTGATGAAAACCCTAATGCAAGAGCATTTAACTGAGGCTGGAGATCATGATACCCAGAAACAGCTGAATACACCCTTGAATTGAACCTGCCAGGAAATGGAAGGTCCATCTCTGATGGGTTACTGCTATTTAATCCGTAAAACAAGGGATTAAAATGATTTGAAGTTGGAGAAATATGGTCAATTGGGGTTTGAGGATTAGGATTTGCACTAGAAACTGAATTATTAGCTCCTTCAACGGCTGAGGCTGGTCTCCTGACACGCTTGTTCTTTCTACATCCACCACCAACAGGAACATTCCTTAAAGTTCCACCTCTCGTCCAGTATCTCTTGCAAGCCTTGCAAAAGTGTCTTGGCTGAGATAAGCTGTAGTTGTTATAGTAACAGAACTTGGTGTTTGAGGAGTCACAGCGAGGACACTTGAGAGCTTGTTGTTGTTGCTGCTGCTGCTGTGGTTGTGAAAGTACTTCTTCACTTGGTCTCTCCATTAGTTTACCTGTTGATTCCGTCAGGCTTTTCTCATCTATCTGATTCTGCACCAAAGAGAAAGGGAAAGAAAAGAAAAGAAAAGAAAAAAATCAAGAGTGGTGTTTTTATTAGTGTAAAAATAACATTGCAGGATAGATATTCTCTTCCAAAAGCTAAGAAACAAAAAATGGGTCATGTTTTGTCTAATAATTGAGAGGGAGAGAGAGAGAGAGAGAGAGGGTGAAGAACCTGTGGCCATTCGTTAGTAGTTGAAGAGATGACAACCATCTTCTCACAGTTGCCTAACATTTCTTCTCACAAAGGAATCGTTGAAACAAAGAGTAAATAGACAGAGCAGGTGGCGACGTGAGTCTTTCTTGATGGGGTACAAATATTGTCACATACAGGGAGAGAGAGGGGGGGAGAGTCTGTGTGTGATTAATTAGCAAACATCAGAATTTGTGTGATTTAGTTAGTCAGAATTTCACGTGATGGGGTCTGGTCTAAAATCGAATTTGGGTAGATTGTTTTTTTTAAGTGAAATTATTAAAAGAGAATGCAAAAGAATATATGGAGGGACATACAATGTATTCAAAATCCAAGAAAAGGACGGGGAGGTAAAGTGGAGCTAGGGATGAATCTTTGAGCTGTTCAAGAAAGAACATTTAACATATGAGAGACTACATATTCCACCATCACTATACGTAACATTCCTTCGTATTATAGATAGAAATCCACAGATATACATAGAGGGAATCCCTAGAGCTCAAGACCCAATGCAGTCACACAGCAAATCCCACTTCCACTTTAGTTTCTTGTGTTTATTATATTTTATATACTGAATGGTATGCTATGTATGTGAACACATACTCCATACAAATTATGGCCCATGGCTTCAACAAGAGAGTACTTATGACGGTGCTTATAAAAAACAACATCCAATCCATACCAAGATCCAGTGATGCACATATCATATCAATGTACACTAGCTTTTGAATTGGATGGGATGTTGATATACTGCTAATTAAAAGGTTCCAATCAAGCACGATGTGAGTATTTTTTCAAAGAGTGGCTTGTTCTTGTTTTCTTTCTTTTTCCCTTTTGTAAGAATGAATTGTACATCATGTTTGACATTACAAGCAGATAAGCTACTGTAGTACTATTTTATGGACTTTATTTCATACATAGGAGAATGTATTTACTATATTTTGCACACCTAATTTAGTACTGATAATATCGTCAAGAATCACCTTGGAGGCATCAAAGGTTGTGAGGCAGTGAGCTATTGGCTGTTGCTACTTTTTGAACGGGAATGAGACTGCCTATTCAACGTTGGGGAGAATGTGAAAACTCCAAGAGAAACAGGACAACAGGGCTCCATGTGGGGAGTCCAAGTTACATCTCAGTCTCAAAGCATAGAAATGGCCATGCTTTATTCCCGAGTGCTAGCTCTTGCATGCTGTGCTTCTTATTCTCTCACCTTATTTTTTGTCTTTAAAAACAAATAAATAGAGAAGCCGTTAACAGTGTCTGTCAGAGAGAGAGAGGGGGAGAGAGAGAGAGAGATGGAAGCATAAGGTGCAGGAGCCATGTGGTGGGCAGCTCAGATACAGTGGAAAAAAGAATGGTAAAGCTAAAGCATAGTTTGGGGAACATATGGATTTTGTAGTCTTTCAAGGGATCTTCTCCTCCTCCCTAATATCCCATCATTATTCTTGCGCAGTCCTGATCTTAATTAACTTTGATCTTTGGTACAGTAATTAAAATATTATACAGTACCACTCACATTGCTAAATGCTTGATCACTAGCTAGGGTTACTCCTTCCACATGATTTTTATTTTTTTTATAATGCTTTCAAGTATGTGGCTGGAGGAAGGCAGGCTGTAATTAAACTTTAGAGAGGTTAACAATAGCAAATTGACATGTTAGGGCAGTTTCCAGATTCGGCTGTCAGTATAGTCTTTTTATTTGCTGGGGAAGAATTAGACAACTAGTTCAACTACTAGATGCGCGATATCCAGTGGTATTTCTACGAAGCAAGAGTGCGAAATTCAAAGCTCAAGGGCTTGTTTCGAGAAATTATTCACACAATCCCACTATTCATTTAAACCTTAATCATGTTACAAGAATATTTCATAATGTCATTTGGGTATTCCACCATATCAATCAATTGGACAATTTTGGTCTAATTACTTTTTTTTTCTAATTAAAAGAACTATTCATATGATTCAATAACTGATTTGGATGAAATTGAGTCGAGATGGAAAAACATGAATATTAGTTGATTTATATACCCAGTCGGATATTTTATCAATCATTTTATCAATAAAAAATATCATGTCATTATATAATTTTTTTTAAAAAATCTCATTGTATACTATCTTTAATTTCATCGATATATAACGAAAAATTATTTTTATTGGTTTATTTATGGATGAACTTTATAGTCAGGTTAATCCCGTCGATAAAACTTTTCATGTCATCATATTTTTTTTATTTTTTTATTCATTATTTTTTCACTGTAATTCTCTTGGTATATATCAATAAAATGTTTTCGTCGATATACACTAACAAATATAATGATGGAAAAGTGTGTCAGTAAAATTCATCATAATTTATTGACAAATTCTTGTTATATTTTTTTATCATAGTATTTATTAAATTTATGATAGTAAAAGGATCACATATAAGTAACCAAAAATATAATGGTGATTTTAAAAATAATCTAAACTAAACTTACAATTTAAGGATCACGTATGTAATAAGTCATTTCATCTAAAATAAAAATGCCATTTTTAAATTCTGGATGCTATAAATATAATTCCAGTATGTTAATACCATGCATATTAATTAATTACTATATTAATTAATTACTATGTAGTAGAGAAGTTTTAAATGCATTTATTATTATTATTATTATATATAAACTTTCAAATCATATAGATTGCTTAATAGTATACAAAATTAACATTATTAATAAATAAATAAATAAGGAGGGGAATTTTTCTCTCACTATTCACTTGACCAAAACTTTTTATTTTTTTAATTTTATTTTTTAATATTAAATTTTTTTATCTCGATCTCATGATCAAGATTTCAAGTTTGATAAATTAATTAATTTTTTTTATTAAATTTTATTTTTAAGTTCATCTTTCAACATTTAATTGATTTAAAATTAGATTTTAGAATTTTTTTGCTTTGTTCTCTGTGAAGTTAACATGATCTTATTTCTCGAGTCACAAGTTTAAAGGTTTAACCCAAATCGATCTGACTCAATTTGTGTTTTTTTTTATCCTTTTCTAATTAACTTTTTTCAATATTATTTTTAAATGTTGGGTTGATTAGAAATTGAGTTTTATAAATTACTTCGATATGCTTTTTATAGGTTATCTCAATCACACGACACGTGTTGCAAGTCTAGCAAGTTAACATAGGTTCACTCAAGTTTTTTTTTTTGTTTTTTAGCTTTTTTAATTGTTTTTTTTAAATCTCATCATTCAATATTAATTTCATTGAAAATTAATTTTTATAATTTTTATTAATTTACTTTCTATAAGATTATTTTGATCTCGTGATCCAGGTCACAGATTATTAGATTAATTCATGTTAATTTAGATCAATTTAATATGTTTTCATCTTAATATTTTTTTAAAAAATATCTTAATTTTTTATTTAAACTATACTTATTTTTAACAATCATCCAAATTATTTTTAAATTATCAAATTTACTAAACCATATTGAATTAACCTTCACATCATTTAATTTTTTTTTCTTACTACTAGCATTTTAATTAGCAATATCTTTACACTTTATTTTTTTTACATTAAAAAAATTATCTGAACTCCAACGTACATATCATTATTTTTTTTACATTAAAGAAATTATCTGAACTCCAACGTACATATCATGGGCAATGTTCTAATGATTACTATGCATTATTGACAAATTTCTAAGCTCAGCCTCCTTTGAAGACATAAGGTAGGCACCATCGCTAAGAAATTGAAAGAGTTGGATGATCATGTCAAGGAATTATATCAAGTGAAAAGTTTAATTGAGGAGTTTCTATAATTTTACACTATATATACTTAAACACATTTTTTCAAGTATTTTTTTTTTTATAAGCCTAAAGAATGCATCGAAAACACCAAGGGAAACCCAAGGCGAAAAAGAGAGAACAATAGGATCAAAATGGCACCAAATTTTTTTTACACGGATTCACTATTTTCTTGTACTGAATTTAATTTAATTGTATATAAATTTAAGATAGTCATAATTTATAATTAGTTAAAGAATTTTAAGCATAGTTCTCCTATTACTTTTAATGATTTTTTAAATCCAACCTCTATCAATTGGAATTGATATACTAGATTAATTATATTATTATTAAAAAAAAACATTTATTTATTGTATCATACAAAACCTTATAGTAAAGTAAGGCTTGTTTTTAGCAATCATTTTTGGACAAATCTATTATATATTAAGTAACTAGATTCAACCTAGTCTATTGTCCATATACTATACTTTTCTATGTCATATATATATATGGATAAGATAACAAAACAAAGTTAAACAAAAATGGACATGTGAAATTTTTTTTTTGACAAAAACAATCAATGTTTAAATTTGACTAGAGATTCAAAAAGTCTAATTTTATAAGGGGTTAGTTGGCTATAATAAATTAGATTAGAAAGAACTTTAAATTAGACTAAACTAGATTAGAAAGATAATGTTTTAGAGTTTTAATTATTTTTATATTTATTTTTAAATTATATTTTTTTTTAATTTAGTTTTGATTGGATTTTTTTCTATATAGGGTAGGTCAGTTTTATCAATATAAAAATATTTGATTTATTATTTTTAAAGTCAGTTTATAAATTATTAACTTTTCAGATTATATCAAATTTCTTTCTATAATTTTATCTACACTTTAGATTTGTTATCAATTAGTTTTAATTTCTATAAGAAAATAAATTCAGCAATAAATTCTTTCATCCTAGAAAAAGAAAAGATGGGATACCATGGATCTATATATTCGCTGAAGATCAAATGAATAAAGGACGTACGATTGTGAGAAGTTCGAAACTGAGATACTAAGGACTCATAAAGTTCGTTTGCTATTGATAAGAAATTAATATAAGTCTATACTTGAAGCTTACACACACACACACAATCAAAATTAGTTCGGTTAGGTGCATATGCTAGTTCAATTAAGATCGTAAGCTACATTTGTGAACGAATTGACTTAAAATCTTGATTTGCCTATAATGGAAAAATAAATGAAACTAAGTTGAACTTCTTTTTTTGCCTCTATTATTTTCACTTTTTGTTTTCCTTTTGATAATGGCTATATGGGTCTACGATATGAAAAATATGTAAAATTTAAGTTAAATCACGTACAAGCACACCAATTAATGTAAATCAGCTACATTTATAAATTTACACCACTAAATTTAATAGTTTTATTAAAAAAAAAATTTGTTAATATTTATACTCATAGTTCGTCAATACATATTACTAACAGTCTTATAAACAGAAACAACCAATCAAAAATAATCTCGTCAGTAATTTATTGTTTGTTAGTAAGTCCATCAATAATAAATATACTAATGGATTTATAAACGGAAAAATTACACCAAAAAAATTTATCCTTTTTATTTTGTTAGTATTTTTATTGGTAAATTTAACATATCACCGACAAAAAAACTGTATGTAATGCCATAAGTTTTTTTATTTGTCCATCAATAAATATAACATATTACTAATAGAATATCATCTATAATTTCATCGGTGAGTTAACAGTACTATTTGTATTGCAGCAATTCTTTTCCTACTTCCTCTGGAATATATTGACGAAATTGTTATATCGGTAACCCCATTAGTAATATTTTAAAAATATATATTGAACAAAAGTTAAAAATAATTAAAATAAAGTAAAATAAAATAATATAAAAATCAAATATTTATAACAATTTTAAACATATGTACGTTTAAATATAATAAATCTAAAATAGAGACGACGTTGAAGAAGGACGAGGACGATGACGACAAGGAGGAGGTTGGTTGTCACTAAGACTGTGGGGTCAATTAGAGGGTGCACGTAAATCACTCATCTGTGGTCTCATCTCCATTACTAATCAGCGAAATTTTTCATAATCAGCAGTGATTCGTTCATATTTATCATTAAGATGGGTCGATTAAGCCTGTAATCATTTGTCTAACATTGCCATGAACTCTAAAGTTTGAGTGCGTAAAATTGCCATGAACTTTGGAGTTTGAGTGTGTAAAATTGACTGTGAGCTTCTAACCATCAAAGCATTATAGGTTGTTAATAAGTTCTTAGTTGTAATATTAGCAAGTCCGTACACCCAATTTCTATCGAATCCACTAGACAATCTTGCCTCCAACCACAAATTCAGGTTGATATCTAGATGGGTCAAAGAATCATCCTTGTATCTCTCCTTCAACTGACTGTTATATGTATCCTGAAAAAAAATTCATTAAATTCAAGGAAATAATAACTTAACAAAAAAAATAGTTGAAAACCAGTATACTAAAAAGTCTTTAACTCGGCTATCCACAAACTACAACATCTTTTTTTTGCGATCACCCATCGAGCTTGGCTCGCATCCAAGAACCATAAACTACAAGAAAAAAATATTATCAATTAAATATATTTACAAGAAACAACTACTAAAAAATGGATGTAATAAAAAAAATCCTACCATCCGCTTCACATATAAAACCAATGGAATTAAACCGTTGGCATACGCGATAATGGAACTGTGAACACATTGGTGTACTTGTAAAAAATCAACAAAAAGCCCCTCTAAATAGTATCAACTCATTGATAAGTGAATAATTTACATAGTCACTAGAATATTTCTACAAACACATTCTGTCAATATACTCGTGTAATGAATACAGTGAACATTGTTATGGAGAATAAAAGAAGGGGAACAATTATCATAGTCTTTGGAATATACCGATGGACATATTCTATCAGTATAACCGTATGTAATGAACACCGTGAACAATGTTAGTGAGAAAAGGAATAGTTCCCATAGTCTATGGAATATACCGACAAATACATTTTATTGGTATTTTCATCAGTGTAAAATAGTGTCTAATGTCAAATTGTATATGTATTTCTTATCTATCCATCTTGTAAATACTTAAATTCATTGTTACACATACAACACAATAACACTAGTTCACGTCACAATAATAAAATAAATATTTCATTGTCATTCAATAATAAATTAACATCATTGTTATTACATTGAACTGGATTTCATTCACAAATATTACTTTATAGTTTATGGCATTATATATTAGTGTTGTGTAAATTAATCAAATTTTTCTTTTTCTTTATCAATTGAGTCGTCCTCATCTCCATTATAATCTTCTACGTTGATTTTGTCATAGTTATCTTCATCGACTTCTGGATGTTTGTTACAGTTCAAAACACCATTCAACTCCTTAGCATCAACATCAATAAAATTATTCTCGGCAATGCAAAAATTTAAGTTTTCTTTCAAGTTATTAGATGGAGGAACTCGATATGAATCAACTAGCTAACCAAGTTGAAAATTATCATCTCATAAAGTTAATTCATTGTTGCCATCCTGAACAACCTCAACACGACTCCTAAGTTTAGTTTTCACTATGGATAATCGATCAACTTTTGACTGATTCTTCTAAAGAAAAAAGTGTATGTATAATAAACTTGTTGGCATTGATTGTTTGGTAAAAACAAAGATATCGTTGAAGTTGCGAAGTCTGGGTTTTGAATTAATTTTTACTAAACCATGATAAGGATCTACTCTGATTTCTCTATTAATGGTATTATACCAATAACATTTGAATAAAAATATTCTATTACGCTCGCTATGATATTGCAATTCAATGATCTCTTCTAACTTTTCATAGTAGTCAATTTCAAACTCATTAAAACTCAATCCCTTAACATAAATTTCATTGTTATATTTCTTTCTAACCTGCATGTATTTTTCAGTATGAAACACATGTTCATTGATGAATTATATATTGTAGCACTTCATTTTTCTTTCAGGACCCAGACTAATACAAACAAAGTAACACCAACATTCCCTCCTAATTGATAATTCTGGTATATAAAGTACAACCAAGAATAGTTAATGAGAAATGTAAAATGAAATTAAGTATTCTGAGAGATAAGAATAATTAAGTATACTTATATGTGTTTTGAACCATATAAAAAATTGGTCATCTTATAATTAAAAGATTTGGAATTCAATTAGCTATGAGTTTCGAGACAGCAAATATTGACAATGTTGCCTATAAAGAATTCAAAAATATATTAGTTTATACTATTATAATAGATAAATTGTTAAAAAATAATGACATGTTAAGTAGTATACTTACTGAATAAAAGGTTTTAATTCATTGCAGTTAAAAAGCACATAATAATATGCTTGTTTGAATTCTATTTTTGACAAATATCTTCCACTCACAGCATTTTTTGGTATGGGTAATCTAAGATGGGAGAATATTGACAAGCTCTTAAAAAAAAAAAAACACTTTCTCACCATCACTATGCCTTAGAACATGGTTGATTTTTGTTTTCAATTGAAGCTTGAAGTAATATGAGATAACTATTGATATCTCTTCAACAATATAAGTCTCGCATATCGAAGCCTCAACATGCGCCTTGTTTTTTACTTTTCTCTTAGAGATAAACAAGTACATGTATGGAATTAAATGAATTTTTTGAAATATATAAAGAAAGATAATAAAATTTTAATTACGATACATGTGTAATCCCTAACCTTTGAATGGACACATCCATTTATATTGAACTATACCTTCAAATTTTGTCTAAAATGGTAAATTTATAGGTAGATTCTCCTCTAAGCTAAAAATAATAGAGGAAATATCATCTCAAATTTGCATATTGTTTAGATGATATTCATTTCAAGCCACTTTATATATTGTGTCTATAACTTGATATATATATATATATTGACTGATCTCTTTGAGTACAACTCAAATGCACTTTGGCAATAAATATCGGTAAGTTAATGAATGAGTAGTTGTATAACCACATGACAATCATGGCTTTTTATTATATACAATATACAATCCTCTAAATTCATCAACCTTGATATTTTCAAGGCACGTTCATCAGGAAATCACAAACTTTTAAGTCATTAGTAGACAAGTAACTATATATTTTATCTAAAATGAAACTGGCTTTAGGCTTTACAACCCATGACCCAACATAACCAACTCTATATTTTTATGGTAACAAAATAAAGTTATACCCATTCTACCTTTGAAATTATCCTTTGTCTTCCCTTTCATATCCATAATCATTTTAAAAATGTTCTCAAACACATTCTTTTCTATATGCATGACATCAAGGTTATGACGAAAGAGATTGGTCTTCCAATAAGAAAGCTCTTAGAAAATACTTTATGTATACTTAATTATAGGTTAAACCAAAACCAGAAAATTTCTGCTTACCGGATTAAAAACCAAACATAATGTTATTGTACTTTGACACCATGTTATACAATTCTTTGTCTAAAAGAAATGGCAATGCAAGTGCTTTTAACTTTGCCAACAAATTTTTTTTTCTCGATACATCATAAGTCAAAGTTTCAAATGACCACAACTGCTTCAATTCATCAATCAACAGTTAAAGACAAATATTTATATTCTAACTTAAACTACTGGAATCGAGTATGATCATAGATAAAAACATAAACTCCAGCTTCATACACATCCTCAAAGGTAAGTTGTAAATCGTGAGTATCACTGCCTAATAAGAATAAGGAGTAGAAAATTACCTGAATAAATTGAATTCATCTATATATAACCCAAGATGCACATTCCATATCTCCACTTAAAACTAAGGATGCACACTATTAAAGTGTTTCCAAACTTCATCATTGAAGGGTTGTACTATCACTTCATCCACTGTATCACATGATTGGTGCCATGAATAACTTCTGTAGTTTAGGTGTGTTTGGAAAGTATCTAATTTTTATATATGTGAAAAGAGTCCTTCCCCTACTAATCATGGATTTATAAAGAGAATACTCATATGTTCAACACGTAGTCAATTTTATATTTTCAAAAAGGAGTTTCATCATTGACTTAGCAACATATAAGTTCTCTTTTAATATATTCCTTTTAGGTAAAATGTTCCTCGTATATTCAAGAATTTTATCATAACCTGCCTTATTCAACCCATGATCTTACTTTATAGTAAAACCAAAAAATCATGTCGATAATTTACAATGATTTTTACAACCATCCTATAATAATTTATCAGAATCTTTTAAAATACAAAAAAATCAGACTGCGTTTGCATTACGTTTTTCATCTACCATTTGAAATTGATCGGCATGACCCTAACTCATTATTATCGTATCAATAACCATAATCTTATCAGGATTATTATTGTTATCTATAACTCTATATACGTTGCTAGAACTAGATGTTGACCTATCTATCATTTGTATCATGGTATCATGAGGAACATATGGATTCTCATATGTATACCAATACAAGTATTTCTTCACAATCTTTTTTTATAGAAAATGCATCATTACAACATCTAGATTGAGAAGTTTTTTATTTTTATACCTCTTGCATGGACATTTAATACCCCTTCCACTAATATTTCTCGAATTAAATAGTGTATAATTAATAAAATCATGAACCCATTACAATAATTCATCCTTTATAACCTTTGTGGTGAATCTCTATACATCCATGAATGATCATCTACTACTTATATCAAACCTATATAAAATAACGATGACAACATGTATTAGTTAACTACATTAACTAAATAATTTATAAAAATATTAATTTAGCTCCAACTTATTTAATATTTTTTAAATGTACTCTTAATTTATTATTGATTATCTATATAAATTTAAATTTCTACATATTTACCAAAAATTTCAACTCTATAATAAAATTGAGAAAACACAATACAGACTCATTAAATAAGTTATATTTATTTCATCACAAAACACCTATGTCAAAAATTCAATATAAGTTTCAACAAATTATAAACAAGTATAGTTTTATAAAATCTAAAACAAATTGTAACATGTATAAATCATAAATCCATACAACAAATTTGTATAAGAAAAAACTATAAAACAAGTAAATACCCAAATAAAATACATATACTATAAAAAAAATATGTAAACAAATCAACATTTTAAAATTGAGTTCAAATTAAAAAAAAAAAGAGGTAGATTTGCTTACTTAAAGTGAAGAATCCTCAATAAAATTTAAATCAGAATATAAATGTTAATGAACTGAGTGTTTTGGTAGTTGTATTTGTTGTAGGTGGTTGAATTGTGTTGAGATTGGAGAAAGGATGGTTGTTTGTTGCATAAAAATGCATTAAGAAGAAGGAGAAATGAAGAAGGGTAAGAGGAGAGTCAATCGTTAGGTTATAAATTAAATATCACCAATGACATTACTAGTGGAATTATTCCGTCAATAACTTTGTTAATCATTCTGTCATTAAAAATATTATGTCACCATACGATTAAACGTTTTTGAATCCCACTGCAATACCCTCTGTAATTCTTTCGATATATGCCAATAAATTTTTATGCCGACATATTTACGGATGTACTTTATTGTCGGGTTAATTCTATAAGTAATATTGTCTATAAAAGTTATACGTCATCGTATTATTTGAATTTTTTTATTTTTTATTTTTTTACTGTAATTCCCTCTATATATATTTAGAAAAAAAATTTAGTGTTTATTGATAGATATAGGAATGAAAATTTTTGTTAGTAAAGATCATGTTAATATACTAATAAAAAAATTCTATTAATATTTTTATTTTTATTTATTAATTTTATAGTAATGGTTGTTGTGAAGACAAGCTGAGCTTGAACCTTACTTGAAGTTAGGTGAGTCCTGAATGTTAAAAATTCAGCTAAACTCATCTCATTTGTACTGTCCGGAATCCGGATACATGAAATAATCATCCTTAATTTCATAAGAAAATAGTACTTATTAATTCATCAAAAGCAAACGTACATCACTTAACGAAATAGTTATCAAATCGCTGGATTTTTAGCCGGTGATCACTTCGATCTTAAACAAGGACAGAGGTCAAAAGATCTCACCCGGGTTCAATGAGGAGGAGAACGAGATTTATGATCAGTACTAGCTAGGCCAAGCGTCTAAGAAGAGAAGATTTTTCATTTGTAAAATGTAAGTGTAGCATTCAACTGATTCCTTTAACATAGCTAGTCAAGGACTAAGACATAATATAATGTTTAAGGAGTGGTTGCAAAGCAATGATATGATGCTCTTAAATTGACAAATGACAATCACTATGTGAATTAGAAAAACATAAGGTTTTTAATTAGAAAACTAGCAGCAAGGAGTGCTTCTACAGGCTGCGCCTTTGACTTAAAGTGGTCATGTCACATTATTTAGGGCAAGCAAGTCTTCCAAGTGAACAAACTTGTGAGACTTGTGCCACACATGGCCATGTTTAGGTCCCACGATAAATCCACTATCATAATCATACAGCGATACTGTTCACAATGTAAAGCCAAAAAGTTGCTGCTCTATTTTAAGTTACCTTCGTGGATAATTCATCATCTTAACGCAGTGCTGAATTAGCAAAATGATTCACAAGTAATTTTAATAGAAATGATCTTTCCCTTTTCTTAAGGAAAAAAGAAGAAGAAGAACAATTAGGGGATACATAGATTGATGATGTGCCCAATTTATTGAGACCTTCAACATACTTATATTAAATGATAAATTTAAAATATTTTTGCGAGCAAAAGTATTTGGACCTAAAACTTTAGACTGATGAAAGTCTTCTCTCTTCAATTACTAATAGGGTTATTTGGCTCTTTTAACTTTATCAAAGAGAGTTCATTTCTCCTTCAACCAAAAACAAGTAAAAAGGGCATCTTCAAGAAAGCCAAAGATCTCTCGATATTTCGTAATTGACGCCTAAATTTTTGGATTGATATACAAACTATTTCTTGTTTATGCAAAGTTCTATGCCGACGGCATATGAGCATCCAATAATAGCTTACAGGACCATGTTTTGCCTATTTACTCTATCATAGGTACCACCATTGTAGCAAACCCTTACATTTTCATGCATTTCGATGTAGACAAATTAAGAATAATTCAGTGGTGATTCACTGTCCAGCAATTTGAAGAAATTATTCTCCATTATTATCAGCTACATATGACATTAATGCATGCAGATCATTTGGATGGGACGACTCCAGCTCTCTAGTTTTGGAGTTAGAAAATTTCTTTCTTTTTTCCATTTATTTTGAGGTCAATGAATTAATATTATGGATTTACAAGTTACATATTGAGGACCCAGGAGTAATTTCTTTTAATTTTGAAGGACTATTTTGTACAACAACGTCAATCTTTTATATATATATATATATATTTTCTTTTAAAGGAACTGTTAAATCTCAAAGACATGTATAAATTTTGGGAAGCCACGGCGGCCGCCAGCCACAGCTACCTCCAACCCTCGGCGCAGAGGGCCCGTGACCTGAGAACTCGCCGATAGGCTTAGCCTTGCCCTTAGAGCTCGTGGGTCATGTAATTAAGTTCAATATATAGACAAATATGTCAGGTTCATGACAAAGCACTTGTCAAGTTTTAATAGGATGGAAAACACTAGGCAAAACAAGCATCAATGAAGACAACTTAGGATGGTTACATGAAACTTCTTTTGTATTAAAACAAATCCCCAAATCATCATTTTGGGGACGGGCATGATGTTACTTGTTAAATTTAATCCACTCGATTGCCATCCAAAACAAGGCACCGATATCTTAACATGTTTATTTGCCTAATTTAATAATGCATCTGAAAGAGAAGATTTATAGCTTATTTATTTAATATATATGATATTAACAGTTTTTTAAAGTATTTTTTATTTAAAAATATATAAAAATAAAAATTTTAATTTTTAAAAATTTATTTTTGACATGTTATATTAAAATGAACTAACAATACAAAAAAATTAAATTAAAATAAAATAAAAAATATTTTAAAAAATATATTTTTGAAATTAAAAACAAACAGAATATTATATATTAGTTTCTTGACAATGAAAGTTCCTCATTGGTGCTTAGTGCTTCTTAGCTAATGATCTAGAGACTGGAGATAGATAGCCTCGGATTGACTCATGTACCAAGAAAAATCTTTCTTCAACCAAGATCATTGGTTTAGCGTTTATGTGAGCTAGCACTTGTAGAATTAATTATAAATAAAAAAGAATTATAAGTTATTTGTACTGTATCAAAATAAATTATTTAACTTTTATAGTATTAAAAATTAATAAAAAAACCATCTAATTTTTAGTATTCTTAGTAATATTTTATGTAAAAAATTAAGAATATCTTCTTTTTCTACAAGTCTTTCTATATTAACTATTTTTTTCCTTTTTTCTATTTTTATAATAAAAAAATTATAAATGGATTTAAGAACACAAAAATTAAATACATAACATCTAAGACTATAATTAAGAACTAATTAATTAGTTTTGATGAATAACATAGACTAGGTTATGATTAACTCACCAGTACAAGCCTCGCATAAGAGACCAAAACATTGATGTATGAATTGTTTTTGTTTTTAAAGTCTTGATTCAAATATAGATATGATAAAAATCTCATCTTCATGTAAAATAAAAAAGAAAAAAACATAATAGTGGAAGATTTTGGTGATCGCGTAGATGGAACTAAGACAGAGGTAGTGCCCGTCAATTCCAGAGGTAGAGAGGTAGGTCCTACCCACCCACACTCAGTCACTCACTACCCCACTACCACCGGACAAGAAATGCCAATTGGGCAAACATTAAAGAAACCCAGCGAGCACGTTAAAGCAAAGTCTGTATCAGTAGGGTTTAGGGGACCAAAGCATCAAATCCAACCTTTCAATCTGTAGCCATCAATGGCTGACCGTGGCGCACCCTAAACAATGTGCAGACAAAGATATCGCTCTCCATTTTGGTTATATTTTGGCTCTCCTTGCTGTATAATTAGGGCACCCACATGAACAAATTAGAGGACAGGATTACTCTTCTTCCTCTGATGAAAGTATGAAACTGCCATCCATCCATCGTACTCTAAACAGGAGCGTGTAAATTAAGGACTACGTACCTGATCAAATGAGGGTAAGCTGGACATTCTAGCATCATTTTAGTGCTCTGGCTACAAGAAAACTTATGGGGTCAGTTTGCTTCTTTCAAAAATCCTTTATGGAAGTCATCAATGGATTGGGATCTCCAAGAGAGAAGGATGTGAATGGATTCATCGAAGGATCATATATTCCTTTCCGGCCACTGATCAAGGGCCATCAGGTACCGTCGGCCTGTACTTATATGTAATGTCATGGAGGGTGATAACTATTTAACACATTGATGTCAGGTCAAGTGGAACATGTGATAGAGCACATGATGTGGTTCTTGAAATTAAGATGGAATCGCAGTCAGGTTAGGTCACCCAAGTGACAAGATGATATTTATTTGAAAAAGTTATTAAGCAACTGTAAATCTCACTTCCAAGTAACGAACCAGAGGAGAAATTAAGGGTTCTTGAATCTTAAATTTCGAGGAATCCATACATGTAGGATAATAATATGGTGTAAGGTGATTATGTGAAAATATTTTTTAATTGAAAATATATTAAAATTATAATTTTTTATGTTTTTTTATTTTTATAATAGCACATTAAAATTATTGAAAAACTTAAAATATATCAATTTAATATTTGTTTAAACATAAAAATTAAAAAACAATTTAAAAAAATGAATTAAACCACAAAAACAAACACATCCTAAAACGTTTTAATACTATCAAATATTTCTAGCTGCATTGTTATCATTTTTCATAAATTAATATTATTTTTATTTAAGTAAAGGTATGCTATATATCAACATTTAAATTGGTTTGTTTGTGAATCTTTATCACTTTTTTTCTAAAAGTTGAAAATGAAATAATGTTGTAATATCTTGCGGGGAACAAGTTTATTTCCCGAACGACATTAATTTCAAAGATATAAATAAAAAACCATGTGTAATTTTGTAAGCTAATACTTGCTTCAACAAATATCATTATCTGTAGAAATTGATTTCTCCTAAGAATTATATATTTCCTCACAGAATTTCATAGGTCAAATGAAGTACCAAAACATTCATGGTTATGAATTTCATTTGAAGTAATTAATAACGACCGTTTTCTTTCTCTCTTTTGTTTTATTCCATTGGCATATTCTCTTTCTAAACAGTAATTGATTATGTTGAAAGTTGATATGATTACGTAGTTAATTTGATTTGATTTGTTTGTAATTTTTTTTCTTTTGGGGGGGGGAATCAATTTCATGGTTAACTTGGGGTTAATAATACAGAAAAGCAAAAGCACATTGTTACAACGGGCAGTTCTATAATTATGATATTGCATGGTAACATGGGCCACAAAATATAAACTGGGAATGAAATTTACTGTGGGGGGTCAAACCTAGGTAGGGAACCCAAGAAGCAGGAATGGATGAACGAGCATGAAAAATTCCAGAGAGGTCCGAGTCATCAATGGTCTTTAAAGAATCTTCACCTCTAAAGTTGCAAACCCTTTTAACACATGGTTAGAAGCTAGCTTGTGGACTGTTGCTTACGGAAGTTTCAGGTCCGGTGGGTCCTAGAGAATGTCGTGGGGGACAATTACAGTGTATTTTAAAGAGGGTGTCCTAGAAATAAATCATCTGTCTGTCGAGGAGAGAAAGGCTTGAGTGTGTCCAAATCGAGTGTCCAAAACGTTCGTAGATTCAATTCAATGTCAAAGAAATTTGATTAGAGCGTGAGTGACGTTGAGATTCTTCTACTTCAGATAACTAATGATGGCTTACAGCGAGGTAATTTATGAGAAATCGAGATTATTAAGAGACCCAAGTTTTATTTTTGATTAAGATATCTTCGAACAAGCTCGAAATTAGTATTTCAAATATAATGTTGTGGTTTGAGAGCAAGGACTTATTTAAATATTAAATTCTTCTTGAAATTAATTATTTCAACAAATACAACGTATGTAAGACGATTAGCATGTATTTGACATTTATGCTAGGAATCCAACAGGATAATTAAGCTCCTTCCTTAACCACTACAATTCACATCGGATCAGATAATTAATAAAAAAAAAGAGAGAAAAGAAGCCATGAATCCTTAGATATTACTGATTCCAACATATCACTTAATGTAATAAAACAGGACAGGACTTTGTGAGGCACAGGAGAGAACAGAAAACGTAAGAGGTGTTAAAAGAGCATTTCTCTCCTAAGCTGTCAACAGGTAATACATGAGCTTAATTTATTATAAGCAGCATTATTGAGGGATTTGTATAATCTTAAAATGTCATGGCTTCATAATTATGTCAATCTTAATGTTGATCTGCTTACGTTATCCAAATTCTCTAAAATTAATATAAGCTTTTTTTGCTGCTTCTGCTGCTGTTGCTGCTGCTGCCCATTATATAAAGAGATTAAAGAGAATGATGAACTGAATTATCATGTGTAACGGATTATATTATTTTATCATTCCAGCTACTTAGGTGCTCTTTGAATTAATGAAAATAAATGTCGGCCCTTTCACATTGAATTCCTTGCCTTTTCCCTTCCTTGATTTTTTTATTATTTCTTGGTACAATACGAAATTCTTAATTTTTAATGAAGGTGGATCCTTTTTTTCCACAAAATTTAGCTCACCTACAGAGGCCAGGATCATCAACTTGAAGCAAGAAATCGAGTCGCTTTCACAACAGCCCCAAACCATTTTGTAATGGGCCATTTACAGTCATACGTGCTATAATCCCAGGAGGATCTTTTTGGGCTCTCAAACGTATAAAACTAAGCTTCGGCCTTTTTAGGTCTCTTAATGCGTCTCATAAACTTATAATTCATAAGGCAAATCCATGATAAAGACAAGGACTTTACTTTTATACCGTGCAGAAAAATAGTTTTTTTCAGCATGTGAATTCTGAAAAAATAAATTATTTTTTAATATTTGGTGATGTAATAAATAATAAGTTAGAAAATAATTTCTAGTTATGTTATAGAAAATAAATTGAAAAATAACTTATTAATATTTTTTTCAAGTTTATTAAAATAATAAAGAATAAATCTTAAAAATTAAAAAATTGAATAAGAATGCAATTGAAAAGAAAATTAATTTCATAAATTATCTCAAATAAAATAAATAATAATAAAAATTAAATCTAACATATAAAAAATTAAAAGATGATAAAATTAAAATAATTATAATTATAATTTCATAAATTATTTTAAATAAAATAATTAATAATCAAAAGAATAAGGATCAAATTTGATAAATAAAGAATTTCAATTAAAAAAATGATAAGAGAAAAATAAATAACAATCATAAAAACAAGAATAAAAGATAATATAAAAATCAAATTAAATCACATTTTAAGAAATGAAATTAAATAAAAAATTAAACAACATATATAGCAATCAAAAGTTTGAGGATCAAATTTGACATAATTAACAAATAATATGATATTTCTAAATTTTTAATAACTTCTATAAAGTGTTTTCCACCAAAAATAAAAGAAAAATATTTTCCTGAAAATCAAGGTAAATTTTTTTTATAGAAAAGTATTTTTTATTGATCAAAAAATATTTTTCATTAGCTATAACAAATAAATATAAAAAATTTAAAAAATTATTTTTTAAAAATTATTTTTCAAAAAACAAACGCACTTTTTTCATATTTCTTTTCCTAAAGCTGCCGCCTGGTAATTTTTGGTCATTTGACGTGCAAAAAAGTTTATTGTAGAATTACCTTGCACCTTAATTTTGGATTATTTTTAACAAATTTATGCCAAATTTAGAGCTAACTTCTATAGATGGTAAAATTACACGCCTCATTGAAAATCTCCATACTACCCCTCACTCCAATTAGAGATAACAATTTAATTCAAACTCAATACATATCAATCCAGTCATATTCAATTGATATTTTTTAAAATAATAACCTTATATGGATGTGATATAAATATTATCAAATTTAATTGGATATATACTCGAATCTAATTTAAAATATATATTTATATTATATAGATATATTTATAAAACATTTATATTTTTTTAATACAATATGATATATACATATCTTAATCATTGGCATAAAACACACTTTAAATATATATTAATTATTTTATTTTTATTAAATACTAAATAATAGCAAGATAATGGATAATCATGTGAATACCCAAAACCCGCTGAATAATTTATTAATATCTAAGTTTTTTTATTTAATAAATAATAAATAAAATAACATCTAAGTTTTTTTATTCAATAAATAATAAATAAAATATAAAAATAAAAATATCTTACTTACGAATATCCATTTTCACCCTTAACTCCAGCCAATGAAAGCGAACATGAATTGAAATTATCTCCTGTGAAGGTGGGTATCAATGAAAAAATCCAAGTGTAAGCTGGTTTTAAGATGGATATGCTAAAGTTGGATATGTTTAGTCTTCAAAAGTGTTTGTGGTTTGACAAATTTCTGGTCCATTTATAAAGCATTTGTTTTTAAGTTTACAGGGAAAACTATATCATATGTAATCCACGAAAGATATTTGGTTTTAGTAAATTTAATCTAAGAAATATATGTAAAAGTAATCATGTCTAAATCACTATAATTAAATGGTGCTTTTTAATTAGAGTCAGTCAAAGCTATCTGGAAAAAAAAGTTCAAGAGCGAGTATATATTTCTTTCAAATTTTATTTTTCCTGAATAAATGTTTCAATATAATTAATAAAAACATCACGGAGAAGGAGAAGTTAGTATAGTTCTATGAATAAATCAGTATTCATTGGTTTGATGAAATTGCTCAAGACTCAACAAAAAAAAAATTTAAACATGACATTAAGAGAAATATTGTATTTTCAACGTGGTATAATTATCTTAGCAATTTCTGCAGGGTTAGGTTAGTATTTTATTATTTTTTCAAAGTAAAATTATTGATTTATCTTTACAATAAAAAATAAAATATTTTTTGATCAGGGGTGTTATGGTCTTTTAATATTTTTTAAATAATAAAATTATTTTGTTTCTTTTAAAAACAAAATCAATTTAACTATTTCACTATGATTCTTTTGTTGTTTTACATTGTTTTTATTATTAATTTGAAGGCTACTCAAGGAAATTATTGTAATTTATTATATATTAAATACTATTAAAAAAGCATATTGATGAAGGTGTCAAGGAGTGTATAACCCATATTCTTTGAGCAGCTCATGCAAGGTCATTCAGCCATTAAATATCATCTTTAATTATAACTTTCAAAAAGTCTTGATGCCCCTCCCCTATGAGACAGCGTGTGCACCAGATATGCATTTGATTTACCGCCAATAATTTTTTTTTTTTAATTTCTCTTTCTTCTTCTTGAATTTAGTATCAACTTCTGCAAAAAATTAGGTAAACCCTTATAATTTATTAATTTTTTTAATTTATATTATTTTGAATATTATTTTTAAAATTTTGAATAATTTATTAAATTATAAATATTTTTAATTTCACCTAGCCCTATTATTTTTAGTTTTTTAAATTTGATTCTTATTTTTTATTGCTATTTTTTTTGGATCATTTTTTGAATTGTTGTTTATATATATAATTTCATCCTTTTTAAATTTTTTTCTATCAAATTTGATCTTCATTTTTTTTATATCTTTTATGTTTTAGCAAGTTTTTTTATTGATTTTTTTTATAATTTCATTCTTTGAAATTAAATTAATTAAAAACTAATTTTTTTAATTGAACACGAATCTAGATTTGTATGGGTTATGAATTTTACATATTAAATTAGATTTAGAAAGATCACAAAGGTTTACATGATTTTTTCAAAAGGGCAATTGTATATTTTTAAGAGAAAAAATGAAAAACTCTTTCAACTACAAGGACTAACATGAGATAGGAGGGGTGGTGTTTAGGGATGATAAAAAAAACCTGAGAAAACAAATAAACATAAAAAACTGAAAAATTAATAATTGAAAAAATCAAATCAAAAAAAAAAAACTAAATTATCCAATTAGAACACTCAAAGCAAATTTCAGTTTAGTTTGTTTTTAAATATTTAAAACCAATTAAATCAAACCAAAATAAGAAATATGAATTCTCAATTTTCTTGTGACCCTACCCTAAACCAAAGTAACCGCCCGCGCCCCCAACTTTCTGTCTGCCTCTCATCTCTTCCTGGTCTCAACCCTTAATCAAACCCAAAAGTGGCAATCCCCAAGCCCTCTCTCATCTCCGATCTCCTCCGTCACGATCTCTTCTCTTTCTTAACCCAAAGGACCAATTATGAGAGCAAGCAAGGAGAGAGGGCTAAGTTAAAATCTCATAAGAGAAAAGAATAGACAAGAGCCTATTCAATTAGTCAAAACGCTAGATTAAGAAAGTTGCGTCCAATAAAGCTTCTCCTTGTGTAGACCTATCTTTTTTGGCTTAGCTGATCATCGTTGCCTAAAGGTTCGATTCTGAGATTTGAAGAGAGTCTCGAATCCCATTTCTACTACTTTAGCTATGTGCGTAACACATTGAATTTTAGACTTGTAGGCTTTGAATCGAACTTCCTTTTCCTTCGCGAAGAAAGCTTATTCATCAATCAAAGTGATAAGTGAAGAAAATGAAATTCTTGTATTGATCCGTACTTGCTTCCCCTTCGTTAATTACATTTTTATTTAGTTTTTTTTATAGGTGCCGAATGATTTTCAAACCTTTTCTCTTTAAGTAGTTAAATTGTTCATCACTTTGCGTGAATAACTATTGATATTGTCATATATGATTATAATTTAGTTTTGAGAGTGTTTCATCTTTGAATTCTATCCAATGAGATGAAGAATAAGAACAGGTTTTTTTTCCAGTTTTTCCTGTTTTTTAACAACATAAAATTGTTTAACCTATTTTTCTTTCTTCTTCTTCTTTTCACAGTAACTTCCCCCTTCACTTCTCGAAAACTTTTGGTCTTCCAACCTTTTTCTAAGTTTAAATCCTCTTGTTATTCAACTTCATACGAACTTATATTGATATAAATTAATACATAATTTAACTAATGTCTTTATTTATTGGATTTTTTTAATGCATACGTAAGTGAGAATTATATAATTAGAAAATTATATGATAACTATCCCTTATTAAAGTTAAATAGGAAAAGAAAAGTGTTTGTATAAAATAGACTGGTAACCTAATATTCTTTTTTTTTTTATTCTAAACCTTTGATTTGAATATAGTGTCTATAATTGTATGTAAATCCTCGTGTGTCCATGTCCAATGTAAACGTGGAGGCCCATACATCTTCATAGTTGAGCAAAAAAAAAAAAACTAGATCTCAAGCTCCGGATACTGCAGTCAAATCGTTAAATACTTTCATTAAAGAAAAAATTGTGTTCGAATAGGCCGGACTCATATGTGAAGGAGAGACTTGTTGAGTGCATAATTGAGTGGTAACTATCCCACGTTAAGGAAAAGGAAGGAATGAGGTGCTTACATGTCAGATGAAGCCATGACTAAATATTCGAAGTTTTTGTATTTGAGATGGCGTCAACTGCCGATGCTTCTATGTGC